TAAATTGAGTACATATAATATGATATTTCAAACCTTCAAAAGGAGTGCTGTAGTGGACATAAAAGTTTGGCATGAATTTTACTTAAACTCATCAGAAATTATTCACCAGATGATAAGTTTAATGTGGAAGAATAGGCTTAATTTTCAAATAGTCGCCTTAAAAAGAATTTATTTTTAACTATTAATTAGGCAAAAAACAAAGTTATTCATTAGTTATGAGCATAGGTGTGCGCAGAGTTTCAAGTCGGGGGCAGCGAATATTTTTACTATCCCATACATGGGTATTAAGTTAACATTTTAAAGCTCAAAAATCAAAATTTAACCTTTGACATTTAAATAAAACTATTTTAAACGTTAATCATAGATTGTTTTTGCTCAATACCGGTATACCATATCAAAATTAGAAATACATCAAATATCAATAACACATTATTCTTTATTATTACAATACAAGCCAATGTTTAATTGGGAATGAGTCTTTAAATTCATCAATCACACTATTTACATCAACACAATTAGTTAGTTCTTGTTCAACAAATCAAAAAAGTAAAGCATTCAGTATTTCTTGGCCAATGGTGTTCCTTAACTTGTTCTTGACAATAGTTAATTTAGAAAACGTACACTCACAAGTACAGCTCGTAACAGGAATGATTGTACATTTTAAGACAACAACAAAATGGCTTGAAAATGGAAGATCTATCATACTGACTTAACCAATCAAGCCAATTAAACACTGAAACAGAATTTGTTCCCTTTGGTGCATTAGTTTTAATAGCACATAAAATTTTAACTTCAGCGCGCAATTCTTCAGTTAGAATACCAAAATATTTAGACAATAAATCATAACTTGTAGTTTCTATTTCAGTGCTTAAATTTGTCAACATTCCAATAGCATGTATTAAGTTTATTGTATCTTGTTTAAATCTAATGTCTAATCCTTGACATAGTGGGTCCAAAGTATAATTAAATACGAGCACTTTGAGTTCATCATATTTGGTTTCAAATAAATGTCGAGTTTTATTATCATCTAATTTTGTTGGTATAGTTTTTTTTTTCACTGTTGGAATTTCTATATTTATTTATTTGCACATTTTTTCTGTATTTTCAAAAGAAAGTTGATAATCAATAGGAGAGTTTCTTAATGAATTTAAAGACACGTTTAAAGATTTTATAGATTTAATTGTAGTTAATAATTCCAAGTTTGGCGTTTGTAWAAAAGAGCTTACTTTTAATAAAATTCTCAAAATGGGGTGCATCATATTTAAGCAAAATATAAAGTTAAAACTTTTTAGTTGATATAAGAAGCCTTGACCTTTGGTTCTCATTTCAGGTACTGAACAATTATAAATTATTTCTTTTAAAGCTCTAAGTAATACCAAATAACTATTTTTAATAGCACT